GCAAATTTTTTTGGTATTTTAATCATGGAAAAGATAATTGATGTTATGAGAGTAAATGTTGCAGCTATTAGTATAATTCTGCTACAATTACATTAAAAATCCAAAGATTTCTGGAGGATGGCGTGTGTGTGTGCAGTGCTTTCAGGATTCCCTGACACAGGGAGCTGTTTAATTAAACATTTTTAAAATTATAGCTAAATGTATAGGGATATATTAAGAAGGGAGAAAAGCAGACCCGTCATATGAAACAGAGAATTGGTATCCAGCAAAGAAACTCATTTAAAAATAATGCTTGAGCAATAAGGAGGACATTTAAACAAGATATAAAACCAATTCCGAGTCCAGAGAAAAATTGTGGAAGACTTGAAGCTCAATACTTTACTTACTGAACCTAAATGTAAAAGTTGTTTTTTATAGGTTAATTTCATAGAAGGAAACATGCAGGAACTGTGGTTTGTTTTGTAAAGAAGGACAAAACAATAACTTCTATGAATTTGCTTTAAATTGAGAGGAAAAGTGCTATTTAACAGTGAATTGTTGAAACAGCTAATGCAATTGGTGAGTTTTAAATTTCCTGGTGTGTTTGGACCAAGACAGACTTACATTCTATTTTATCTTAGCTAGACATGTTTTAGTCAAAATTATGGGGAAGTCAAACAAATGCTCTCAGTTCAGTGTCAGAAGGAACAATTTGCACTTTCAGCCTGGTCTTTAAAAACTGAAAAATGAAGGAGGCTGATGTCACTTGTTTCTACTCAGAGCCTTGCTGTACTTGGTATTTGTGAGAACTGATTTTAGTATCTGCAGGAGAAGTTAGGAAGCTCCTCAAATGTTACTGCATGTAAGAGCAGGGTGTGTGAGCTGTATGAGGGAAATCACTGCTGCCATGCCAGGGGAAGGGCTGAATCCAGCAGCCTTTCCTCTGGCCAAACTTCTATTAAAAAAAAGGAGAAAGGTGAAAACTTGTCTGTTCTGCCCATCCAACTGGGATTTCCCCTAGGATGAATGCTTCATTATAGAGGGGAAACCAAACTCAAATGGTGTGTGCCATGTGTGTGATGCTCTGAGCTGGAAGAGGCTGCTTGCAGTGCTCTGTACCAGTAGTGGGGAACCGAGGGAGCTGCTGTGCTGGGCTCAGGTGGAGGATGCTCAGGAACGCGTTAATCACATTCTCCTGGTGAATGACAAACTAATGAATAAATTGTTGGAATGAGGACAACAGCATTGTTTGTTAAGTTTCTTATTAAACTGGGTATAATAGTTCACTCACTGGGTTACAAGTTAATGTGGGGCGTGGGGGAATGCTTTTTCTTTTCATATACTTTGAAAAGCATCTTGAAAGTAAGGCATGCTGGAGGAGTTGTGGGGGATGAGCACCCACGTCCTGGATGCTCTTGCTTGATGCTCTTGCTGTGAGGGAGCTGAAGAGCAGCTGGGTATCACTGGCAGCTGCTGCCCCCACGTTCCAGCATGGTGGGGTTCTGCTTCTGCTCTGTGTTGGGCTGTGGGTGGTGGGGGATTGTGGCTTGAGAGTTTGTTAAGTCTGTAATAGTGGCCAAAGTTTGGAGACAGTTGTTTTAGAAAGAAATATGAAACAGCAAATGCAGCATTGACTGCTGAAGTCATAAAGCAGATGGTGTTATGAGCCACAGGAGGGTTAAACAGTTGAACAATATCGACTGTTGCACTCATAAATGATAATTAAAACATCCTTTTTATTACTGATTCAATTTCTGCCGCTAGCTTGGACTTTTCTGTTGCTGCAGTGAAGTTTGTCTGTTCTGAACAAGGCCATAGTTTGCTCAAGGGCCACTGCCACCAGAAAGCTCCTGCAAGAAGAGGATGGGAAGAAGCAGCTGAGGAGACAAGGTGTAAAGAACACAAAACTTCAGCCATTGGCAGAAAATCCCCTTCCAGCCATGTTTCAGAAACCTCTGATAGAAAGGAATAGAAACAGAATGATGGATTTTAAGAAGCTGTACCCTCCTCCCTCCCTCCAATTACTGCTTGCATTTACAGGGTAGAATTAATGAAGTTAATTACATCTACACAAAATATCTTGGTTGAGTGAATTACTTAGATCTTTTAAAGTAGAGACATAATTTTCTGCAAGGTTCACAGGCTGTTTTTCAAGCTTGGTTGGTTACTTTGGTTTATAGTCCTCATGATGCATGGTGCTATCTTAAGCACTCTGGGGTGCACCTTTTAGAGTAATACAAGATGTCAAATTCAATGTAACAACAACTGCAGCATTCAAAACAAAAATACCGAAATAAATAAAAAGACTGGTTTCTATCAAAGATGAAAAAGTTAAACTGTAAAGCAAAATAACAGGGTGAGGTGCTTAGAGGGTAAAACCATATCGTGTAATTAGCAAAGAAAATGTCTAATATGCTGTTTGTCTGACAGTCTTTTGTTCACTTTGGTGTCATAATTTTCAACATGCAGCATTAACCAAAGGAGTTTTCAGGGGTGTGTTTACATGTTAAGGTGGAAACAGAAAAAAAGGGCAAAGAATAAGCTGGGCCATCAAAACATTTTAAAGGTATACCTTACAGTAAATAGTATTCAAGATTAGGACTTCAAAGAATGACGAGATCAGGTGTACATGATTGTGAAGCTTTAACAGATAATTTTACATTAAAATTATCTGACATATGTGATTGACATTAAAGATACACCTGAATTTAAAGCTGGAGGCAAACTTCAGCTTCTAATTAATTTTTACCAAATTGCATGTTAGGGGTTTTTTAAGGAAAATTTTGTGCACACAATTTAAAACTTTCTTCATTTGTATATATTTTGGTTTAGGGATTTTCTTAAAAATTAGAAATCAAGTAGGAGTTTTTCCTATGGAAACACTCATTTTTATGTCTTGTGGTGATTTAAATTTACATTTTTGTTTCTCATTTACAGCAGTGTCCTGGGCTTGCCTCTGGCTTGCACTTCAAGCAGGGCCCCATGAGCAGCACCCTCCATGCTGTCCTTGTCCTTGTGTCTCTTGAAAGGCAGAATGCACCATGTTTTGTGAAATGTAGTTCAAGAGGAGCCTAGTTTACATAGAAAATAAGCTGGTGTGTACATCACTAGAGCTTCCCTGTAAAATTTCTATAGCATTTCCTAATGGAAAACTTCAGGTTTTTCAGATAAAAGATTTGTATTTCAATTTTCCATCAATAAAATTCCTTGTTGTATAGAAATTTTTATTATACACAAAAGCAGTGCAAAAAAAGATTAATTTCCAAGAAGAAAAGGCAGAAGCACCATGTATGCAATGCAGATACACATAATTGCCCCAGCACAGCACAGGCAGTATGGCAATGGGGAGTTAAATGTCGCATGAAGACTCGTGGTGGCCTAGCAAACACAGGAACGTGAAGGTTTTGAACAGCCTTATTAAAGGGGGCATTTATTTAGGGCTCTCTGAACACACTTGAAAAACCGGTTTAACAGCAGCATTTGCTGGTTGAGCATAGTCAAGCAACTAAGTTGTGGGAGGCATTGGGAAATCCGACCAGGAAAGAAATATTTTTGGTTGATGATGCTTCTTCAGGGATGTGAAGTGTCCTTTGGAGTCACATCACTGCAGGTGGCATTCCTTGTGTTAACGACTGGGCCTTACCAAAGGAAGTCTCACTTCCATTTCAGAAAACCTGCAACTTATTGACTTATTTTTGTTTGAGTTGTCTTGGGCTATGCTGGTTGATAGAGAAACTTGTCTTTGGTTTGGTTTGTGCAGTGTCCAGCACCAGGAGCTGCATACCCATGAGTGAGGTTCATTAAGAACTGTCACAACATGAACAAAATTATGTCACACCCAGTAAAATCACATTTTAGTAAAATACATGGAGACAAAATATTTAATGCAACCCTTGCTTGAATTGTACTGATTACAGGAGTCACTAACAGAGGGAACACTGTTCTGAAGATGGGTAGCTTTAGAAATAATCAAAGTAGTTTGTTTGATAGGTGACATCATAGGACAGGTTCTTTTACCATCTGTACTTTGGGTAATTACTAGTTTTACCTAAATGTTAGAGGTATTGCATGTTTTTCATCATTAATAATTTTTATTATATTCTACTAAGAACATAGAAGCCGTTTATTTTCTATTTGTTGCTGTGAAATTGTTTTGAAATTTACAACTTCACCGATGCAGACTCTCTCTGTGGTTTTTAATTGTGAGTATTTATGACTTTGGTGTTTTGCAAGATTCTGGAACTTAAACCCCTCAGCTGTCACTGTTCTCTGCTGCTGATGGAAACACTTTAACAGCAGCAAACAAACTGCTGGCAAAAGGAATTGCAGCAAGAAGATAAGGTTGTTCCTAATCTAAGCACTTCTCAGTTGAAAATCACACGAGGAAAAAACATATTCAAGGAATCAGTCAATTATGGCTTTTTTCTAATGTACGATATTTACAACCTCTGGCAATTGGAGCTGAGAGCAGCAAAAATCTGCCCTAATTGCAAGGACTGCAAAAAAATACTTGCACTTTTTTTCCCCTGAATAAATGGTTGTTTCTTTGGGATGAAATGCATATCTGCATTATGAAAGAAAACAATAACAGTGCTCTGTCTGTGCTCGCTAAGTTGTTGGAGAAGAATGAACAAGTCCAGATTTTTCTTTGCGTCTGCCTAGATTTCAGATAACACTGTAGAGCATGTTCCCCAACGCCTCTAATTCCAAAGGGAATATTGTACATTTTGATGATACCTTTATTATTACTTTTCACTTTCAAGAATGTCTGTAAAGATTTTGGATACACTCCTATGTGTTACTATGCCAAGAGTAAGCTTTTGTAATTCTGGAGTGTAAGTGTAGAAAATAACTCAGGATTTCAAAATGTGTCTGGAATTTATATCAGCACCAAAGTGCTTATGATTTGAAAGAAATGTGTTATTTCTGTGAAACTGCATGTAAATATATATATAAAAGCAATGTTTCTTTTGCAACATTACTGATTTAACTTGTAAAATACTGTTATTTTTTAATCTTAGGTCTGAGGGTAACAGTGTTACTGACATCATCCCTCATGGTATTGGGAGCTGGCCTGAGATGTGTTCCAGTTTCAGACCTAGAAATTAGGAAGAAGTAAGTGAATTAATTATTTATAATATACATATTTTATTCTTTCTGCCAATATACTTTTTGCTGCTACTACAAAGAAATGTTAGTACAAATTTTCTGTATGAAGTTGATATACCAAGTGTTTGTTGTGTGGCTATGGGTTTACATGCTTCCTTGCTTCTTAAATGGATTTTTCTAGTCCTTCTTCTCCATAGTATCTGAAGACCAGAAAACCCTTTACAAGCTTGAGTTAATTTAATCTCACCCCATCCTGCATAACTAATATTAATCTGCTTTGCAAATAAGGAACTAGAGATTTAGCTAGGTTCAGAAACTGGCCCAAGATCACACAGGGAGCCATGCCTCAACCCCTAAAAAGAAGTAGTTTGTATGCAAATGTTAAATAATTAGTCATTTTCTCATAGTGAATGTATGGGATCATGAGACAGATGAATTTGTGCAAAATGGCTTTTTTTATGTAGTCTCTTCCAGCCCATGTTTCAAAGTAGCTTTATACTTTTTGCTGCAGTGAAGTGATTTTCTGCTGTACACATGCCCTTTACGAATTTGTGATAGAAACAGATTTCTTCTTAAAAATCCCACAAACCAAACAATTTAATTGTTCCATCAACATATCCTGAGTCTAGGAATCATTAGTAAGTACAGCAGCACTGCTTATTTTGTACAGCCAGGGAACTTGGATCACTTGTTCACTTAATTTTCTTTTGCCTCTTAGTGTAAAGGAGGTGAGAGTATGCAGGCACTACTACTCTTTCCTGCTACTTTGAAAAAGCAGCAGCACTGGTTCTTTGCTAGTTATGCTTGCATAATATGTAAACACTAAGGAAAGATCTTACAAATAAAATGTTTTATGTGGGTTGGGGTTTTTCCCCTTGAATTCTAGTCAGCTTGAATTCTACCACGCAGTCTTGGTATTACTTCATAGTCAGCTTGAATTCTGCCATGCAGTCTTGGTATTACTTCAGCAAGTTATTTGGGTTTGGGGTTTTTTGTTTTGGTTTTTTGTTTTTGGTTTTTTTTTTTTTCCCTTAGTATTGTTTAACCTGAAAATCAGCTTGGGCACCTTTTAAGCTGAGAAGGAAAATGTTCGGTGTGAAGTTGACAGCTGGTGTCTGGGTACCATGGATAAAACAAAGAAGGAGGTTCAGAGAGAGAACTGAGAATGTAAAAATCACATGAATTGTAAAAGTAGCTGTGATAAGTAAACTAAGAGCAGAGTGTTAGGTGAGGGGATGCACTTTCAGTTCTTAGGTGCTTAGTGAGCATATAAGGAAGCACTCAAGGTGCTCCTGATGTTGGTTGTCTAGTGTTGCCCATTTTGACAGGGTCTTCAAGGATTCTGTGAGCAGGGCAGGCTGAACTAACCACATTGTGCTACCCTTCACAGTCACCCTGTTGAGGAAAATGTACTGTTTGGGTGGCCAGGAGGAACTGTCCATATTTTACCCTTGGTTTACATTTTCTTAAAATGTCAAGGGGTGCTCGACATTCATCAGTCTTGGCTTAAATATCAATAGCTTTTAAATGGGACACATGGCTTAAATGCAATGATATGGTGTTTTATGTAGCTTTTAATTTATGATGTATGCCAGAAAACATGTGCTGCCCTAGGCTTTACCAAAACAAGGATGGAGACTGTAAATACCTGAGAAGATGAAAATTCCCAGGTGAGATTTAGATGTAGATATCAGCTGGGGAGTGGGAAGGAGAGTTTCCACCTTTAAATAAGGTTTTGCAGTGTAGCTGCAGAAAGCAAGCCTAGGAAAACAATTAAATACATAACTAAGGAGAAATATTCAAGGAACAAAGAAAGGCTTTGGACTCTATAGAGTTTGATGAGTGAGATGTATAAAATGTGATGTTAAAATTTATTGAAAACTATATAGGGGAAAAAAGAGTATGAGCAGAATACTGATGGAAAAGGTTAACAATTTCATATATTCATGCTGTGAAAATATGTATCATCTCCAGCTGAAACTGATACATTTGCCTACTTATCCTACTCCCAAAAAAGAAATTTTCCAGAATTGTAGCTCTACATGAGGAAGTAGCTTGATCTTTCATAGTTTGATTTAAAAATCTACCAAGAATTAATTATGGCCAACTTTGGGAAGCAAAAGAATGGTTTTCAGTGAAGTTTCTTGAGACTTTGTAATGGTTTGTACAGACTGTGTGATGCTATACTATGTAACTGCCGTTGTTTTGTGGTTTAAGGCTTAAGGCCAGTTTTCATCCATTATTTGAAGTGTGATACCAAATAAAATAATTTTTTTTTTAGATGAGCATTATTGCTTGATGCATTAGCCACAACTGGCTGAGCACCAAATTATTAATTTATTCTGGATGTGTATGTGCATTAATACAACAATTTGAATGTTACAGAGCCTGTCAGAGGGACAAGATCACATGCAAGCTAATTGGAAGCGTTTCAGAAGCCAGTGTAACTGGAATTTCTTTAAATGCTTGTGTGTGTTTTGTAGTGTGTTCCTTCAGCCTGAGAGTAATCTGTGAGAATATGCTGAAGATTTCCATGGGACAATTCTGTCTGAGTTAATATACATAAAGTTATAAGAATGTTCATGAGGTTTATAAGGCTTAGATTGGGGGTTTTGTACTTTGTAGCAGTCTCTGCTCCCTAAGCTCTTGTGATTAACATTAAGGAGAGCTACTAAAGCCCACCACCTATCAGAGCAGTCAGAGACGTAAGGAAATCACTGTTAAGATTGGCATTTAATCCTGACTGCTTTATGCTCCTTATCTCAAACAGACCTGTAATATCCAAGTGTATTCTTAATCCCTTTTCTAGTCCATAATTATTCTTTTGGTTGTAGTGTGTAATATCAGACTAAGACCATGCCCAGTCCTCTGAGTCGTGTTTTAAGTTGTGTTTTAACCTCTCTTTTCAGTACATTTGATGTCTATGCATATGAGGGAAAATTCAAGTTGCACATTTCATTGTGTCTCTTGAAGAAGCTGTGAATTTTCTATGGTGAATTTTTGTTCTCTGCCAGTGTGTGACCTAAAATTGTACTGGAAATCCATGCCAGAACTGTATAAATTCAGTGCAGGCAAAGTGGGAGTGAATGGTGAAAATGTTAAAGTGTGAACTTGCATGTCAGATGGAGGATCCATCCTTTACACGGACTAATAAAGTCCCTCTCATGTACACATATGCTTTTACCTGTTTTCCTCCCCAGCCCAGTAACCTGTGAGGTTAATGAGTCTATCAAACAAGGACATTAAAAAGAATTTTTCTTACGTACCTTGTGCTTCTGGGTTTGTCAAATGTGCCACACATATGACAGTAAATTTGATCCCAAATTTATTATTCCTTTTTAAATGTTATGAAAACTTTGTTTTCACACCTGTTTATTTAGTTCACAGTTAATATACATTATATAGAACATTAAGGAAAAAAAGATGTTACCAAATTGTACCTTTACTGAATCTTCTTCCCTTCCCTGGAGGTTACCAGAACATCACTAATGCTTTTTTGCCTGCTTTTTGTCCAGTCCTTTCCTTTCTGACACCTGCTTGTCACTGAGTAAATATTTTCATTGGACTCTTTTAGGATTTGATTATTTTATCCTGAACATTAACATTACTCAGAGGCCATTTTTTTATAGACTAAATCAGAGTTGTTTTTTCCCTTCCACATAGAACTTCACATTACCTTGTATTCTGTGTTTAGGAATAGATTTACATACATCTTAGGTCTTAAATCTAGGCAAAAAGCTGTATGAGCAGAAACGTGTAAAAGAAGGAAATAAAATTAAGAAATCAGCTCACAGCCATAAAACTTTGGCTTTTAACACTGACTGTGTGATGTAAGACTTCTTAAAATGTTTTGAAAGGCAGGATAATTAAAGACATGGAAGTAAAGGGTGTAACATAATTTGTCATTTGTATTGAACACATTAATTAAGCAATTTATTAGAACTTCTTATGCTGTGGGCTGGTAGTGTTTGTCCTTCACATTAGATTTCACAACAGAGAAGTAGTTATTGAGGACCTTGAATCATGGCAGTGAGAGAATGCTCCTTGGCAGTAAGAACTATTAAAATGTTTTTTGGGAATCCAGCAAAATAGCACGGAAAATTACAGTGGAAACAGAGTGGTTGTTTACACAGTCATTTATAGGAGACACACCAACACCTGGTAGATCCTGTAAACAGGTCTTTTTGTTAATATTACCAGTTCTTAGGATTTTGAATATTTCTCTTTTATATATATTGTTGTGAACTCTTTCCTTTACTATATTTGAAGAATTTGAAGAATATTCATCTTTGGTATGTTTTGGTTCTATTACCTAGTTGCAACCTAGTTTGTATTTTACTCTTGTTAGACTGACCCTTTAATAATTCCACATTTTCCCCTTTTCTGTTGCTTAAAGCCTAAAGAATTAATGGGATCATCTAATTATTCTAATCCTAAGGCTGCCATAAGCCACCATTCTTATGCATGAAAAATGCAAAGGAGCATCTCAGAAGAGGTTATTTCAGTAAAGGAAAGACATACTAGGATTGCTGTATTCTCTGGTAATACTGAATACACTTGTGTGCTCAAAAAACCCCAAACAATCCAAATTGGAGCATATGTGGAGAAGAGGAATTAAAGTGTTCTGGGGAATGAGAAGAGCCTGTTAGGGGAGGAAGGTAGACAAATCAGCCTGAAAGGACTAAAGACAGAGTGTGCTGAGTGTTTTGTGCTCCCTACCTCACTGGGGAAGAGAAATGAAAAAAGGATTTAATCTAAAGTGAGGGTCTGGGAGTAGGAAGATGAATAAACATACCTGTTTGTGTGCTGTAGCTCAGCAAGCGGAGGGGGCAAACATTAAAATTGAGCACTTGCCTGTTGCTTTTGGTGCTGGTTTGTGCTGCAGTGCTGGGGGAAGGCTGAGCTGGGTTAATCCATGGCATCAGAAAAATAGGAAAGGGGGGAATAAAGGAAACAGGTCATTCATGAGTAGGTTCTCATAGGGGATACTTATTTTTTATGCCTCT